AACTCTTGAAATTGATCACATGATAAGTTGTTGTGCCAGTTTGCAAAGCGGATGCTTTGGCAACTCAGGTGTTTTACTTAATTATACCATCCACTGTCACAAAAATCATTTGCAACCTTAGTAGTGCCAAGAATTATATTATTCATGCTCGCTTTCTTGATAGAAATCTTGAGCTCATTATCTAATTGTTTAATAGAAATAAATATTAGCATGAGGTGGCACAAGCAAAGAGAATTTTCATTTTGAACATCAAAGTAAGCAACAGAGCTATCAATAAGGGCTGCACCCCTTAGCACCGGTTACGGCTGAACATGTTGGATGGGTCCTTGATGTTACGGTTGAACGTTGCTGTTGTAGGTTTGATTCATCCATAAAGTAACAAATTTGTGACAGGTATGGAGATCAAGGCTACACTTGAATGAAAACTTAATGACAGCCCTGAGCAAGTTGTTTTCTTTTTTAAATCTTGGTACTTTCCAAATGAAATAGAAAACAACATGTTCTCCGTGATTCCATTGATTTACAGAACCACTCATGAAAATTTTGAAGAACTTGAAAAAAGTTAGAAACACTCGGCTAATGGCTCCTGTTCCAGCAGCATTTCAATTTCTCCCAAAAGTTCACTCATGCTTCCACAACTTGATAGAAAAATTGTATGTGCTTGGTGATAAAATAGAGTGTATGACTTAGCAATTTTAATGTTCTTAAATTGAGTCATTGTTTAATTAATTATCATGTCTTTGTTAATTTCATTCATTTTAAGAACAAAGTTAATACTTAATGTGGTTTTATAGAGATCTCTTGTCATGAGTTGATTTTGTTTTGGACAGGTTATAACCTTTACCAGAAAATTGGCTGGTTTGGTAAGGCAAAATTTTCAGGGTATTCCAATTTCAGCTCAGGGACAATCAAATGAATCAGCTGTCCCAGCTTTAAGCACTGGGAACAACCCAAAGGGGCAGGTTTACAATTTCAATGTGGTGTTATTGGATCCCAGTGATGATTCAATTCCCAGGGGTACTTATCAGGCAAGATCTTCTTAACACTGGCAGGATTGTCCAGATATCTTTGGGTAGGGGAACACAAGAAGCAGGAGCACTGAGAGCCCTGAATGGTGCCTTCCCTTTCCTCAGAGGAGCAACCACAAAGCAAGTCTAAAATCTAAAGCAGTTTCTTAAATTTTAATCATTACCAGCAAGGTGTCTTCATTTCACCATTTTATTTTGCTCAAACTTAATTCAAATTGACATCAAATTCTCTAACAAGATACAACAACAGTTTCATATAGCAGAAAAATGCATTGGCCACATTGATAACATTTGATGATAACTGTAGTAACCTGGCAGTATGTACATTGCTTTTAATAATGAGATTAGTCCAGCCAAGACAAGAAGATCAGCACCCAATTAAAGACAGACTCTGATGGACAAAATCTTTGGAAACTCTAATTAAAACAATCACCCTGTTTTCAGCAATTTTTTTTTCAGCTCTGTAGTATTGGTCTACAGTATGAAATAAATTGAAACACTTTATTCATGGGTAATATTACTCTGCCTTTTAGTGATGGAGAGTACTGCTTTGAAATTCTCGCGACTGATAAAAGCTCGAGAAACGTGTTGATCCCTGCTGTCCGGCCATCTTCAGGGTTTTCTGCCAGGGAATTGAAGAAAATGTGTGGCCAGGGTGCACTGTACCTGCGCTTAATAGAGAGCAGCCCTAGTGATCATGAGGTACTCATTCATATTTACATTTAAATATATTTTTTTTATAAGTTTACAAAATAAGCTCACAGGTGTCCTGCTGAAAAATGTCCATGCATAGTGTTTAACACAAACCTAGTACATTTTGCCTGAATGCTTTAATGTTTAAGAAACAAATAAGTGCAAATGAAGAGATGTTTCTAAAAAAGAATTATAGGCACAAGTAATCATGACACCTTTGTGTAGAATTAAGCTAACTGTAGACAGTAAACTTGAACAAATAAACTAAATCCCTTACTTCTCTTATTCCTCTGATTTCTTTTTTTATATACAATAATTTTTTTAGATAACAAAATTTTGTTTTTTCTCTACAGGATCAGCCACCTAGACCATCAGCATCACGAGGAGGTGGGTGTGAATTTGTTATATCAATTGAATAATGTATGTAAATCAGTATTAAAATTCTGATGCTGCAATGTCAAGT